TCAGATTTTGACTGTGAGCTGCGAACACTGTAACTGAATATAACTTAGCTAAAAAAAATTCCTGTTTCTGAGACTTGCACAAATGGTAAAATAGACCTTTAATGAACATTTTAAAAATAATTCATGGGTTATGATATTACAATATTCTAGAATTTAATGATGTTTTGGTAAACTATTGAAAAAATAAAAATTGTATTTAAAAAAAACTAAAACTAATTAAAATAATATTTGATATTGATCTATATTTGTTTAAAGATTTTTGAGTCAAACTGGAATATTGTGTATTAAAATATTTATAATGATAAAATAAATCAGGTTTTATTGTTTTAATAGAAAATAAATAATAAAACCATTATAATTATCACGATTTTAATATTGTGTTTGTTAAAATAAATCTGTATAGTCGTTCTAATTGATCAATCCAGAAATAAATTATTTTAACTCTAGGGCAAGTTAAAGCTACCATGTTTATAGTAATTCAAGGATGTTAACAGCAGCAGTTCTGTTTATTTTAAGATAATACAAGTAGTATTAAATTATAATATAAATCTAGGATATCTATCTTGTTTAGTCTTAATCTTGTTTACCCTACACAAGGGGACTGTTTATGTTTGCGATGAAGATTTGAATTGCACCAATATTTTAGTTTTTACTACAATATGGAATACAACAGAGGTCAGAATTAACATCAGAATAAACAGTTTTATATTTACTATATCTATATTGTAACTCTACCTTAGAGATTCTATTCTTTAGTCATAGTCCAACTGATGAATATATACTCTTATTGATCAAGTTTGAGACTTTAAATTTTATGAGGTAGTATCCTTTTAAATTTTATGTCTATTATAAGAGGTACCATCCTTTTAAATTTTATGTCTATTATAAGAGGTACCATCCTTTTAAATTTTATGTCTATTATAAGAGGTACCATCCTTTTAAATTTTATGTCTATTATAAGAGGTACCATCCTTTTAAATTTTATGTCTATTATAAGAGGTACCATCCTTTTAAATTTTATGTCTATTATAAGAGGTACCATCCTTTTAAATTTTATGTCTATTATAAGAAGCAGTATCTCTGTATGAAATTAAATAAATGTTGAAAAGGCCAAGAAAATCATGTAATTTTTTTATGACAATGCTGACCTTATCCAGAGTGCTATCTTTGCTGTCTTTATCAGTACTACTGTTACTACAGGTACTGGCCACGCTGGGTGATTTACGTTCCCCTAGTTTCATCGGATTGCCGTTACTGCCGTTCATTAGACTGTCCAGATTATCAGGACTGTTTCTATCTTTTTTATTTGTATTATTACCATTCTGAAATATAGAGGTATGGGAAATAAACTTCCTGGACATAAT